GGCCTGCGCGCGGGGCCGTTAGCATTCCTGCTCTGGCGGAGATCTCCTACATGTTTTGCCATCGCACGGCGTGCGGCAGAGCGGGGCCTCTCTTACCTTGGGCAGCCTCGTGACGATGCGCTCGTCGCCGAGGAAAATGTCGTGCTCGGCGTAGAGCTTCCGTTGCGCCTCGTACTGGGAGAACTTCTTCTGCAGATGGTTGATGTCGATGACGCGGGTGATGCGCTTGCGCAGGGCCGCAGGGAAGGCCTCGTCGTCGACGGCGTCCTTGTAGGCGCGCTGGGGCGAGGCGACGATGAGGCAGATGGTCGAGTCCTCGGCGTGGAAGCTGTGCGGCACGGGAACGCGGCCGGGCTTGAGCTTGTTCGTGTCGGCAATGTGACGCTTCGTCGTCAGCGTCAGCCAGATGGGCGTCTGGGCGGCGACATCGTCCTCGTCCTCGAGGAGCTTCTTCTTGTCCGAGTTTTGCGCCGACTCGGTCGCTGACTTTTGAATGTGGGCGAGGAGAGCCTTGGAGGCCTTGAGGGTCTATACCATTCACGTTAGACACTGGTTACCATGACATCGCGGTGAGGGTTTCAATGTACCTGCTCAGGGTCAATGGTGACGGCAGAGGTCTGCGACCGCGTCGTGATTTCCTTGGTAGCGGCCATTGTGTCGATTTAAGTTGAACGGAGTCGGTGACTTGGGAGGTGACCGTCCAAATAGGTGGTGGTTGGATATGGCGGGGACTTTTCTTCGCAAAAGCTTCGTTCAGTCGTCCAGATTTTTTTCCGGCAGGGGTCTTGGACTGCCGATAAGGTGGTAGATCAGCCCCGATAAGTGCACGGTCCGCTTTTGGCCGCTTGACCGACAGTGGTTCTCGGTGGACATCTTGACCGAAGTAGACATCACCAATGACATAGCATGGAGTTGCTGGTCTGTTGATCTGGTCTGGACTTTGTATTTAAGTGTCTTTGGTCCGCATGGAAGTTGAACACTGCCTCTGATGTCTCTTTTCTTGCTCTTCGTTATCTCCATCCCGACACCTCCATGACATGAGAATACGTTCCCGTTGCGCCGCCTCTATCCCATGCAGCGCCCTTGCGTGAATTGGCGGTGGCCGGTTCTTCTTGTCTCGCCACTCAAGGTCCTTCATGTCCAACTTGCTTCTCGATTTTCTGATCAATCACATGGCCGTGCCATCACCGCCCTGCCCAACCTCGCGTCTCACTCGTTCACACTACAAGCTGCAAGGTAGAAGGCGACGCACGCCCAACGTCTGCGAAGCGGGCAAGCCCGGCGAACCACTGGTAGCAACGCCGCTGACAACACTCATCCGCCATTGGGCATCCAAAGACAGAGGCAGGTTAGATCAGCAGGAAGAGGGGGCACGAGCGGGCCTCAGATGCGTTCGGCGAGGAGTCGCGTTCTGGAGACCAGGGACGCCCAGAAGTGGCATAGCGGAGTGCACATGCAGGCTGGGGAGGGCTATTTTGACTTGATTTTCACATTTTGGGGGGGCAGAAAGCTTTCACACAAGGGAAAGCAAGCGTCCCGACGTTGGTTGGCCCGCCGCGATTCGTTACTGCGCCAGCCAGCCGTTCCTGGCTGGGCTGGTGGGGGGGGGGGAGGCAAGACGTGATGGGATCATGTGAGACCGGCCAGGCTTCATCCCAGAGGGGCGGAACGTCAGTGAGCACATATAGATACGACTGAGGGAGAACAAGGGAAGGGTCAGATTTGCACACAACCAGACAGACATCTGACAGCCGACTGTGGAAATTATCGGTTGTGCAAATCAGCAGCGGCGCAACGAGACAAGACAGGACTGGCCTGCCGCTGCTGGGGGGGAGACGGGCATAAAATATGTTGCGGCTAATTGGCTTCTGTCTGGGCTGGGACTTGGCCGCGGAGGTGAAGCGAGAAGCGAATCCATGGGCGGAAAAAGGCACCTGCTTGACATGGAAGGCGCGCACTGGTAGAGCGAGTAGGAGCGTGTTGGTGGAGACGTGTATTTGGGAGGCTGGCACTCTTTGGGGGGGAACCGGCCGCCGGAGGGGTATGGCGGGCATTTGTCGACGCGCCGCCGTGCTTGACGGAGGATCGACGATGGCGCCAGCGAAAATTGGGAAGAGAAACTGAGGGATGCAGTTACAGACTATTGGGAGGAACTTCCACGTCGTTTCGTTCACTTGAGGCTCAATATCTAAAGGACCATGAGGGAGGAGGGAGGAGGGAGGGTAGATATTGAATCCACTCTCTGGCTCGTGGCTCGTAGCTCGTGGCTCGTGGCTCCGTGGACGTGACAACCCACCGACGTCATGCCTGGAGACCCCTGTAAGAGGTGCCCTGAGAATGCTCGGTCCAGGCGTCAGATGCCCTGGAGGT